TCAGTCTCTTCTGGGGAGCTATAATAGGAGGCAAAGTTATCAGAGAACAGAATGAGCAGGTATAGTCCAGCAGCACAAGGATGGGTTTTGCAGCCACACTGACCCAAGTACTGAGTTCAGCAACAATGCTGTGATCCACGTGATCTCACACAAGTCAGCTACCATTTGCGAATCTCCTGTTTCTAATCTTGAAATAAGAAGAAATTAGTAGCCCCTCCCATGTGCTTGTTATAAGAAGTGACTGTATGAAGTAAGATAAAAAAAGAAGTGACTTCTTTAAAAAACTTTTTAAAGACATTACTACAGTTAAAGACACATAGCTGTGAATCCCCCTCACTTCAAACACAGGAATACAGAACACATGTATCCCATCCTTTTCGCCACTCTCTGAAAGTCCTCTTTCATGAGTGTCTTTAGTTGTGCTGTCCTAGCTGCCTCAAAGTGCAGGGTCCATTTGAAAAGTTTACTTTTCATGGTCATTTTTTGTTTGTTTGGGGGTTTGGGATTTTTGGGGGTTTTTTGTTGTTGTTTTGTTTTGTTTTTAAGACAGGGTCTCACCTTGTAGTTGAGACTGACCTGGAATTCACTGTGTAGTCCAGGCTGGACTTGAATTCACAGCAATCCTCCTGCCTTGGCCTCCTGATTGCTGGGATTACAGGCGTGCACAACCACACCTGGCTTTTTCATGGTCATTTTGACTTTGAGGAAGAGCCAGAAGTCATACAGACCTGATCCAGTGAAAGACGGAGGAGGACACACCATCATTTTTTTAAAAAATCCTCACAAACCTGCCTTGCCTTTGGATGACACTTGGCAGCATCATTCACAGTATTTTTATCACATCTCATAAAGCTCCTCACGAAAGAGGACCTCCAGAGCTGCTTCGGCAAGTGGCAAGAATGATGGGATCCGTGTGTGTGAAGGGAGGGTGTGTTGCAGGAGTATTTTAGCAGTTTGTCTTTTACTGTAACAAGTTCTTTAAAGCTAAACATTCACCATGTATTTTGATTGCACCTAGTGAGGTAAGTCAAGGCCCGAACCATGCCTACATGAGGCCTGAGGTGCAGGTCCTGCTTACATTGGTGTCGTGGCCCCGTGCTGGCGTCCTCCTCAGCAGGTGTCTATTGTGCACTTGCCGGGAGCTCCCTCGGACTGCAGATCGTGATCTGGATTTCTGTGGAAGGGAGGAGTCCAGGAAGTCCAGGAGAGTGGGTTGAGAAATTATTTTTCAAAGCAGCAGCTATCAGGAAATGTCCTGAGCTCTTGATGTCTAGGAAGGCAGGAGGCCGGCTGCTGGTTCAGCTAAACTGTGCATTCAAATGCTCACTTGGGGCCATCTTCAAAAAGCCCATGATGGAAGGTTTCATTTCTGCAGGTTCCATCTGCCTCCTGAATAAATGACGATGCCCAAGTGCCTGCTTCCCAGGCTGCAGCAGCCGTCGTGCCATGGTTGCCCTTGGCACAGAATGTGCCCTGGACCAGTTATTAACTAGCTTACTTCCCTCCCGCTTCACCCAGCGGAGCCGGTGGGTCTCAAGTCCTTCTGACTCTCTCAGCTCTAGTGATCTCATAAAAATTTTAACTGGGGCACAAAGTACACATATAATCACACTAGGTCCCAAAATGATACTGTGATAATGTGGTTGATAACAAGTGGCCATAGCATCTCAAGGTGCTTCTGTACACTTGTAAATTTCACTGGCTTCAGTGCGGATGAAAAGTGGGCCTGACAGCTCTGGGCCCAGGGGAGCAAACAGCACAGTTCGCTGGTGTTGACATCCCATGTTCTCTAAATAGCTTTGTGTCTCAGGTCAAAATTTCACATTTGCCAGCATCTGTCTGCCAGTGACACAGGCTGTGGTGTGGTGACTTAGTGTGTTCTTGCTTCTCATTGCTGAGATGTGGACAAGCTTGACTAGCAAGAGGGGAAATGTCACAGAACAACCCATATTCTGGGAAGCAAACAGACTGGTGTACTATTTATTGTCATAGCTGCCACCTCTCTCCATATTTGCATTAACTTTCATTCTTTCCAACATGCTTTCTGTGAGTTGGGTCATTTTATCCTCTTTAGAGCATAGGGAGCAAAAGAGGAGAGTCTTTCCGTTTTAGTTTAGAAGATACAGCCTCAAAAAAGCAAAGGCCTTGCTCCTGATTGGCATGGCTGGCTGGATTTGCATCCAAATCCAGTGCTCTGGAACCCTTCCTGCATGGCTGCCCTTTGCAGCCAGTCTGTATCCTGTATCAATCACATTCCCATCACTGGGACATGATGCCCAACACATGCAACTTAAAGGACGAGAGGTCTGTTTTGGCTCATGGTTTCAGCCCATGGTTGACCGGCGTCAATTCAGAAACAACATGGTGGAAGGGCCTGGATAGAAGAATATTGCTGCACTCATGGCAGCAGAGTGAGAAGAGAGGAGCTAGGGAGGGAGATTACATCCTTCCACATTACCAGCCCAGGGGACCCACCTCTTGCAACCAGGGCCCACCTCCTAACTGCACACTCAGCTATGAACTCACCAGTGGCCTAATCCACTGAAGAGTATAGTGCCCTCAGAATCCAGTCATCTTGCACAAGCCCCTTCTGTGAACATGTGAGACTCTGGGGGAATATCATTGTCCTAAACATAGTGCACCCTGTGCCCTTGGCTTGTCTGGGAGAAATGGAGACTCCTATACCTTCAGATCTGGTTGTGCCTTTGCAGAAGGGGTGAGGTGTACCAACACATACTGATTGGTGATTGTTCAGAGGTCTGGAATTGGCTGTTTTGAAGAATGGTGAACATAGAAAAGGGTGGTATGTAATACCTTGAGGCCAGGCCAGAGCACATCCTCTTAAGTGTGATGAGGGCACAAGACCTGCAGTCTGTACCAGAGTATTTGCTCTCTGATTGCATTGATGCTCATCCACCTACCTGGTCTTCCCAGGGCTCTCAGCAAGGGCAGAGGTCTCTTCTGAAACTTTGGCTCCTACCCTTCCCCTTTCTCCTCTCCTAGCTTTCCAGTCCCTGAAATTCTACCACCCTGGTCTTTGAGGCCTAATCACAATTTAAAGAGATTCAATTAAAATAGAAATACTTTCACTGTATATTGTTGCAGAATTCCAAAAGGAGGAGAGAGACCAAATGCACATCAGGAGAATTTCATTGGTTCACCTTGACCCAATTGGACTCTTGTCCAAAGGATTGAGCACCAGACAAGGAAATATTTTTGGTTTTTATACATTTCCACAAAAAGGGGTGGTTTTTCTAGTGACATGAAACAGGAGGGAGTGAGTAAGCAAGGTTACAGAAGCAAACAAAAAGCAAGTTAGTCGCATCTCACATGGTGACAATTTTAATTGTGAATCATGTGAGATCAGGGCATCGTGAACTCTGTTTATGGGGCATAGCTTCCAGTCTCATTTGTATCTTTGAGGGCATATAGTTCCTTAAAGGACCCAAAGACTCTATTTATAGGAATGTCACTATCTGTCCTGGGGGACTCAGCCTTGAAGGAAAGTAGATTCCTGGAGCAATCTGTCTGTTTACCTTTTCTGTAGCGGAGAGGAGGTCAACCATTATATTGCGGGAGGCTTCAAGGAGCTTTCTAAAGGAAAACTGATTTTCTTTTAAGTTCTTCTTTAATAAAACTGTTTGTGCAAGATGTGATCAAAACACATGGTATTTATACTTTTTTAATTTTTTGAAAATTAAAAGACGCATTGCCATGAATCCCCCTCAGAATTCTCTCTCACTTCAAACTCACTTATCCGCTTGTCCTGGCCACTTTCTGAAGCAGTTCTGTTCTGGAAGTCCTCTTTCGTGAGGATCTCTGCCTGATGTGATCAGAAATACAGTGAATTTTTCTGGAAAGTGCCATCCAATGAAAAGGCAAGTCTGTAGAAACATGAAAGTATGTCCTTGTCCATCTTAATCATTGGATTTGGCAAAAGGAAACTTCTGGCTCTTCCCAAAAGTCAAAATGATCATGAAAAGGAGGTATTTTTAATTGATTCAGGATACTGAGGCCACCATGACAGTGCAACTAAAGATACTTGTAAAAGAGTCCTTCTAGTACTGCTTCAGAAAGTTGGCAAGAAAAATGGAATAAGTATGTTCAAAGTGAAAGGGAAAATTTGGGAGGGATTCATGGCAATGTATCTTTTACTGTAATACATTTTTTTAATTTAAAAATTTACCTTAGTATATTTTACTCAAGCTCCATCTATTTTCTTTTTTGAAAACCCTTGGGATGCTATTTATGGGGCAGTCACAAAGCCTCATCTTTTGGCTTTGTGGTGTCCTCATCCTTAATGTATAAATTGGAGGGCTCAGAGCAAAGCTCAGGGGAGGTGTCATGTCTGTAAAGGTGTAAGTCTGGCCCATGGCTGGGATGGAGGGAGCAGCTGGGTATGGGGTTGCAGAGGAGGAAGGGAGAAGTGGCTGCATGTCTCGCTCAGACACAATGTCTCATCTCTCAGAGCTGTTTGGGTTGCTCTGTCCTCCAGCCACCCATGTCTAGGAATGGTGAATGGCATCAGATGGTTAATGATCACCAGTGTCCCCTGCTCACTGCTGTTAAGAGCTCCCAAGAGAAATAATGGCAGATACTGTTTCAAGAGTTGGATTGAATTGTGTAGTAAAGAAAAGGCGGATGAAGGGTGCAGGAGGAGCTGTGCCTGAGGGGCATTTGGAATAGTTTTCATAAGATCAGGAAGGCAGATGGAGAGTTCATCTTCAACACCGGCAGCCATCAGGATAGGTCCTGCTCCAGGTAAGAACTGATCTCGTTCATAAAAACATATGTGTTTAAGGGTAGCTTGGACCATCTGTCTTTGAACTTCTGATTTGCATGAGGACTATCCTTTAGTTACTTTTTCAGAATGCCTCTTCTCCCTATTTGCTTAAGCAAAGATGTTTCCTGACATCTGTCTTTCAGGCACTGACTTGTGATTGTGTCTTCCAGTTTCCCTGTCTTAAAATGCCCTCTTATTTCCCTTCTCTTTCCTCCAGCCAGTGAGACCTGCAATGACTTCCACCCGATGTTCTTCACTCATGACAGATCCTTCGAGGAATTTTTCTGCATCTCCATCCAACTCCTGAACAAGACCTGGAAGGAGATGAGGGCCACTTCGGAAGACTTCAACAAGGTAAAGTAGGGTCAGGGACTGCCCCAGTCATCCAAGGAGTACCATCCTTGGGGCTGTGCTGCAGGCAGCTGAGGTAAGAGAATCAAGAACTGGTCGATTTTACGTTGCTTCCAGTATGGAGGAGATCTCTATGGACAAGCTTGGAGAAAGATTATTCCTTTTGTCTAAACTGGCAGCACAGACCCTTTCTTGGGAACTTTGTACAGGTGAACATCTTCCTTTGCTGTGTTAGTGGGGATGCTGTGTCAGTACTGCAGGATCATTGGGAAAGTTGTCTTTGCTCCACCCGTGTAGGAGATTGACCCACAGAAAGACTGCTCCAGGTGGCCCATTGGTTTCCCTGTGGAATATAAATGTGTTCAGATCATCTGCCCTGTGCTGTGTCAAAAGGAATTTTTCTTGAAGTGAAAGATCTCTTTCAGGAAATTGAGTGAGTTTAGGCGTAGCATTTCTTGGTTATAGTAAACATTAGATCATTTGAATGGAGATGTCTTTCAGTTTCCTGTATGGTAAGTCTCACAGTAGTGTGACTTTCCCATTTCCACTTGTATATAAATTTTGAGTGAAAAGAAAGCTATTGACCAACTTAAAGGAAACACAGCCCACACTTTGAGATAAATAAAACTTATCATGCCATAAATGCCTGATCAGCAATAATGCTGTGGCTAATAACTGCTTTTAGGGTTGGTCAGGTATAATCTTTGGTATATTAATGTTCTTGGAGATATGGCTATACGTTAATAGTTGGCCCCTCTCCTAGTCCACTCTCCTAGTGATAAGATACATAACCATCTGCAAGAGTCTTAACAATCTTTGGACTTTGAGTTGGTGCATAAAATAGCATCTGAACCTCAGCTGCATTTATTATTCTTCCTGGCCTTTTCCTTCCTGTCACCTTCTCTCAGAATTGACATTTCCCCTTCTTTTCTGCTGTCTTTCTGGTTTGTGGCATCTTGAAACAATACTGATTGAAAAGAAAGAAAACCAGGAAAAGGACCCAACCCTCAGTCAGGCCTAGACTGACCATCGCACTAGACATAATGACCTCACCTGCAGAAGCAGACAGATGCTGATCCCTCTCAGCCATCCGACTGTCTTTCCTATACCACAGACTGAAGATAGACCCTGCCCAGGGACCCTCATGCAAAGGTCTGATTTGGAGCTGGGTCTTACTCAGGGAGGACAGGGGAGGAGATAAACCTGTTAATTCCTGTGATTACACCTGTCACCTCCCCAGTGTGCTTCTCTTGATTATGAGAGACTTTTGCAATTCATTCAGGTGCAAATCTCTCTGGGAGAGAGGAAGGCTTTGTACAAGCAAGCTGAGAGAGAGAGAGAGAGAGAGAGAGAGAGAGAGAGAGAGAGAGAGAGAGAGTTTTATCAATAGTCTTTGAAAGTGGCTCTTGCCACTTTGCTCTAGAGAAGCCTGACTCTTTGTGCGCTGCACTATGAAAGCTACCCAGGGCCAGGCTGTGTGCACAAGGACACTTGCTCTCCAGAGAAGACCTCATGCCACCACCTGTTCTGGCCTGGCAGAGCAGGGTCAAAGATGGGAAAGGCAAGGAATTTTAATTTCCTACCCTACGTATTTTTGCTACATGCACCTTTTTTCCCTGACCAGCAAAATATATCAGGTATATGCATTTTTATCACATGTGTATCATTTTCTATTCCTGCACTAACAAATCACCCCAAACTTAGATGATGCAATTTTATTATCTTACAGTTCCAGAGTTCAGAGGCCAGAAATGGGTCTCATGAGGCTAAAACAAGGCCTGTGCAGAGCTGTTTCATTTTGGAGGCTCCAAGGAAGAATCTGTTTCTTTGCCTTTCCAACTTCAAGGCACCTCCTGCATTCTTGCATACCCTTTTTCTCCACCTTCAAAGCCAGCATCTTGCCGGTCCAATCCTTCTGAAATCATAGTCCTTCATTCTCCTCCCTCTGCTTCCCTGGTCTTCTAATTTTAGGACCTTTGCAAAGGATTACCTTGAAGTTGGATAATCCAAGATAATCACCTTCTCCTAAGGACAGTGGATAGTGATCTTAATTCCATCTGCAACCTAATTCTTCACTTGTCATAAAAGGTAGCACATTCTGCACTTCTGAGTATCATAACGTGGACCTATATGGGGATCATGATTATGCCCTTAATGGTGTATATTTGATTTTTAGGTGGCTATATCAATTTCAAGTCGTGAACTATGGACAGGCCAGTCTTTTGTTTTTCTTTCTGCTAGTAGGTTTATTCCAAGACACAGAGTTTTGTTTTGTTTTGTTTTTGGTACCGGGGATCAAACTTGGGTCCTCATGCTTGCGAGGCAGGCAGCAGAACTGCCGAGCCAAATCCTCAGTGCAGACACAGAGTTTTTGCTGTTCTGCCTCCAGTAGCCTTTTCTAACAAGAAGTGCCCTGCATGAAAGCCCCTAGTTCAACACGAAGACAGTCTTTCTGATTTTTCCTGCTGCCTGCCTGTCAGCTGCTGTTTTGCTTTCTGCAATAACAAAATGAAGAAGAGAGAAGTGCTGAAACTGAAATCAGTTCACTTTTTTTCTTGCTATTAACTTGGTAGCAAAGGAGATTGAATTTAGGAACAAATTGTGGGTTTGGAGTTACTGGTAGATTTAATGTTTTTTCTTGTTCCCTAAAACTGTTCAAATTCGAATTCAGAAATTGTCTTAAAGAGCACAACATGAAATATTTGAACTTTCTTGGATACCATCTCAGGCTTTCACCACTTTGAACAGAGCAGAGAAGGCAGATTTAATTGTAAATCCCAAGACCTAGGGCTCTGGGAGAGGGCTCAGCTGCCTGCCTTCCTGGGCTCTTCTCTGGAGAAGCAGGACACCTCAATTCAAAATTTTTTTTCAGCTTTAATTGAGTTTATTGGTACATTTTAGGGATACAGTACAGTTACATTCATTGTTGGGATCTTGTACCTCTACATGACAAGTCTTGGTTCTCATTTTCTCCCCTTGTCCCTGCCCTCCCTTCACCCCCTCCTGCCCTCCCCATCTATAAACATTTTATTTCCATCTTTTCATTCTCTCACATTTTTTCTTTTCCCTTTTTACCCTTCCCCTACCCATCCCGCCTTCCCTGCACATTTATCTCCTTTCTTCCCATTTCTCAATCTCAGTAATCTTATTAGGATCTTCTGTATTATTGCAGGTTATTCACACCAGAGAAACTATTCAGTATTTACACATGTGTGCCTTATTTATTTCACTTAGGAGTATATCTTCAATATGTATCCATTTTCCTATGAATGAATCTATTCTCTCGCTCTTTATGGCTGAGTAATATTCCATTTTATAGAAAAACCACAACTTCTTTATCCAGTTTCCAACGGATGGGCAAATAGGTTGTTTCCAAGATTTAGCTATTACAAACTGTGCCGCTATAAACATGGGTGCACATACTTCTCTGTGATATGATTCTTTTAGTTCTTTTTTTTTTTTTATTGAGTTTATTGGTACATTTAGGGATACAGTACAGTTACATTCATTGTTGGGATCATGTACCTTTACATGGCAAGCTTGGTTTCTCTTTTTTTCCCCTTACCTCTGCCCTCCCTTCCCCCCCTCCTCCCCTCCCCATCTACAAACACTTTATTTTCCTCTTTTCATTCTCTCACATTTTTTCTTTTCCCTTTTTACCCTTCCCCTACCCATCCCGCCTTCCCTGCACATTTATCTCCTTTCTTCCCATTTCTCAATCTCAGTAATCTTATTAGGATCTTCTGTATTATTGCAGGTTATTCACACCAGAGAAACTATTCAGTATTTACACATGTGTGCCTTATTTATTTCACTTAGGAGTATATCTTCAATATGTATCCATTTTCCTATGAATGAATCTATTCTCTCGCTCTTTATGGCTGAGTAATATTCCATTTTATAGAAAAACCACAACTTCTTTATCCAGTTTCCAACGGATGGGCAAATAGGTTGTTTCCAAGATTTAGCTATTACAAACTGTGCCGCTATAAACATGGGTGCACATACTTCTCTGTGATATGATTCTTTCAGTTCTCTTGGAAAGATACCCAACAGAGGGATGGCTGGGTCAAATGGAACCTCCAGTCCAAGCTCTTTGAGGTATCTCCATATTGATTTCCATAGTGGTTGCACTAGTCTGCACTCCCACCAACAATGGAGGAGGGTTCCTTTCTCCCCACAACCCCGCCAACATTTGTTATTGTGTGATTTCTTGATAGCAGCCATTCTTTGTGGGGTGAGGTGGAATCTCAGTGTTATTTTCATCTGCATCTCTCAAATGACCAGTGATGTGAAACATTTTTTCATATATTTACTTGCTGCTTTTACTTCTTTGTCTGAGAAATGTCTGTTCATTTTGGATGCCCATTTTTGAATCGGGTCTTTATGTTTGGGGGGGCTGATTGATTTGAGTTCTTTATATATTCTAGATAATAGTCCTTTGTCTGAGGAGCATCTGGTAAAAATTTTTTCCCACATTGTAGGTTGTCTCTTAGTTCTGCTGATGGTTTCTTTTGAAGTACAGAAACTTTTTAATAAGATGAGATCCCAGCTATTGATTCTATCTGCTAGTTCCCGTGTGATTGAGGATTTGTTCATAAAAGTCTTTTCCTATGCCAGTGTCTTCCAGAGTTCTGCCTAACTTACGTTCCAGCAAGTTTAATGTTTCTGTTTTAATATTTAGATCTTTAATCCATTTGGATTTTAATTTAGTGCATGGCGAAAGATAAGGGTCTAATTTTAATCTGTGACAGGTTGATATCCAGTTTTTCCAACACCATTTATTAAAGAGGCTATCTTTCCTCCACTGAGGATGGTGAGCTCCTTTGTCGAAGATGAGGTAGCTGAGTACATCTGCATTTGTTTTTGTGTCTTCCAGTCTGTTCCATTGATCCTCAGGCCTATTTCTTTGCCAGTACCATGCTGTTTTTATCACAGTGGCTTTGTAGTATAGTTTCAAATTGGGAATTGTTACACCTGGTGCCATGTGACTGTTGCCTATA